CAGTCAAGCCTCTGCCCTTCCTCCTCCTCCTCCTCCTCCTCCTCCTCCTGTTTCTGCTGCTGCTGCTGCTGTCATTGGTCAGGGCATTAGTTGAGCCCTCACGTGGTTTAGTGAATTCAAGCCACTAAGAATCCCTCACTGGGCAAGCTGCCAATCTCATGTTAAGATCTTGGTCTTAAATACATTCCTTGCACTCTTGCTGCAGCACTGTGAGGTAGTTTTGGCACCGAAAAGGACATTTAACCAGCTATATAACACCGCCGGCGCATTAAAGCCGGGGTAGTAAAAATATAATTGTTTGATTAGATAGTGATAGAGCTGTGTAGCTGAACTGTGTAGATGAATAAACAACACGAAAACGCCCTAACACCTATAAGAAAAACAGTACAGAACATACTTCACAAAAGGGGGATAAACACAGGAACCTGGCAACCTGCATGTCGCAATCCTTTTCAAAGTTCACTTCGGGGTGCAGGAAAAGAGCAAATAAGCTCAAAAAAAAAAAAAAAAAACTGTGAGTCCTGCCCTCGAAAGATAACACATCCAGAGGAGTCAGATGGCACCTGTCACGTAGGCAAACTTACAGGTTCTCTGCACTAACAGCAAACACAGACAAACCAGCACAACAGCAAATAAGGACAAATTCCTGAACCTGTCCTGCATCGGCCTACACCTGACTGTCAGACAATAGAATTAAAACTGCTCCGCGTTTCTATTCACTTTAAACTTGTGTGGCACATTAAGTTACAGCCCTGCAGCCTTTCCCATGCAATGCTGAGCCATGCACACAAAAGGAAGAATGTATAGTGCGTACTTATCACTGTTCACATGTGTTCACTCATAGAGAAGTTTGTGCACATTTTAGCTGAATAAATGTATTTTATACAACGTGGACCTTTGACCAAAGAGAAGCAGGCTTGCAGATTATGACCAGCTTTATCCACCTTACAGGCTCTGGCCTCCTTTGTAAGGACATTTCTATGTGTTGGGAAAAATGTATGTCATATCCATTGTTGCCCTGCCCCCATTTCTGAACAATATTTTTTTTTTTCCCTCAAGCATGCTGTGTTGTGTTTCACCTGTTTTTATTCCCATTAGGCTTGGTTTCATTTGGATTAGTGTGAGAGTTAATGTGGTATTTCACGATTCAGGATCAAAATGAATAATTTATTTTTTCTAATCACAACTTCGTCAGGAAATATATATATATATATATATATATATATATATATATATATATATATATATATAATTTGGAGAGATGCGTCTTATTTCAACACTGCCAAAGCACAATATAAGTGTGTCAAGTTGACAAGAATGAACCATAACAGAAACAGAAATAGGTCAATTTCCCCTTCAAAATAAAATACATCAAATTAAAAAAAAATAGAATTAAAAAAGCACTAGTGTCCGATATTATAGAATTGAATATTGTGATTTTATTCACTAGAAGTTGGCTTAAATATTGATTAAAATTGTACCAAGCCTGAGATCATTCAAGTTGTTGTAACAACTTCAAAAATCAGGGTCGAGAATAATGATTGCGCTTATTCTGTAGTTAATCTGTGGACAGTTGTTTGGGGGAAATGGCGAAATGCAAAAATTCTGTTCTCAAATTGGTTTCCACATTCGTAAAACCTAAGTCATTCAGTTTTCTTTCACTGAGGAGTAAAGAAACTACAACATATTTCACATTTCTGGAAGAAGAAAAAAAGGGGAATTTGGGAATTTGAGAATTTGAGTTGACTACAACATGTTGTAATCTCAAACTATCAATGAATCCGCAACTAAAATGATTAAACCTTTACTGTACGGAATAAACAATAAGAAGTCAATAAGTGTTTTATTCTGAAAAATGAAACCGGAAACAGTATAAATACACCTTTGTCCGCTTGACGCTTCAGCTCGGTTGAGGAAGTCCGAGCAAATGCGAAGCACGAATAAGTCCAATGTTTTTACTGTAAAACTAAAAAATGTGTCAACGCCATTCACATAAACACCTCGAAAACTAAACAGGGCGTTAATGTGGAGGGGTGGAAATATCTTTAAATGATAACTTTGACAAAAACAAAGCAGCTTCACGGTTCACTTACACTTTGCGGTTGATCTCCTGTGTCGATCAGGAAGAGGCTTTTTTTTTTTTTAAACAGCTAACTGTTAAAAAAGTTAAAACAGCGAAGTCCCGTTTAGGATATTTGTACAGTTTTTCACACAGTGTTTGTGACACGTTAAACAAACACAGGCACGTCGGCGTGTACTTCTGTCGGCGTGTTTTCACAGACAACCCGGCGGAAAAGTCATTTTTTTTAGTTCTCCGTGTTGCTATGGTTGCTAGCGGGAATATCGCCCGAGAACGTTCGGTTGTTGTGGCAACCGTCAAGTGTCGCGATGTCGGCTACAAGCGCCGGGCACTCTTAAATAACACGATAAATACCGCGGGAATTAAACCTTTTCACTAAGTTAATGCTGGAATTTATTCTCACACACTCACGAGTAGTGATAACGGTCATGTGAAGCTGGGAGGTGATGAGTGTGAGGGGGGGGCGGGGGGGGGGGGTCAGGTAGAATGACAGGAAACTTACCTGAGAGTTGAGGAGCCGTGTCGGTGCAGGCTGTGAGCGGTGACCCGGATGTGTCGGTCGGTCAGCGGGACGGAGCGGCAGCAGCGGCGTCCAGGGCCGGAGCCGCCATGTTCCTCCTCCTCCTCCTGTGGCTCAGAGGCTCCTCGGCTGTTTATCTTTAACAGTAGACCCCCCCCCCCCCCCCCTCATCTCATTACCACAATGCACAGCTGACTCTCTTTAGTCCTTTCACATAAACAGCCATGAGCTGAAAGGCTTCAGGAAACAAATACAAATAATTACATGAGAGTTGATGTTTATTGCCATGTGACAGGTACAGGACAGTGCAGGTACATTTGGATTTTTGTGCATTTCTCCCAGAGTCAGCTCCTCTACAAACAAGTTAAAAGTATATTTACATACACATGAGGGTAGAAAAAAGATAAATAACTCGTAGTCGCAACTAATAAAAACAAACTGTACAGAAAACTATACACTCTTTTGAAGAAAAAAAAAAACAATTACAAAGGGAGACACAGTACACTGAAATAAAATAGAATAGAATTACTTTATTGATCCCAAACTGGGAAATTGTGGCGTTACAGCAGCAGGTTGTCCAAACACACAATATGAGCAAAAAAACACAATGTTAGCAAATTAAACACAATATAATATTAAATACAAAGTAAATAAGTACTAAAAATATCAAAACTAAGAATGTGAATATATACAACCAGGATTTAACTTAGCATTACTAGTCTTAAATATGAAAAGATTAAATCCAACATACTTTGCTGGAGATAGATGTAAATGTGTAAAAACAGAGTTGTAAATGGACAGTAGTGACATAGGGAGCTGTGCAATCAGTGATACACAAGTTAAAGTGCAGGAGTGTAGACATAATAATAAAAATATCCTGTCCTGCAAATTCTATCAATATCAGACTTCTCTTAAACATTTTCATGACTGTCCTTCGTTTTTAATTTCAGCCAAACAAAGGCATGACTTACAAGTCTGTGTATGTATTTATTTTTTATTTATATTGATGAAATGACATGAAAACAGTCGTGAAACTAACAACAAAACAATGAGAAGGGAATAAAACAGAAGCGAACAGAAGCTAAGGACAGAGGGACGAGTGACAAAATACAAACAATGATAATAGAAATGTAAATGGGGGTTATGTCGAACAAATGCGCGGGGGGGGGGCATACTTTGGCAAGAACAGCACTACTATTTATCATATAAATACAAATAGAGACAATAATAATGTAGGCTATAATAATAATAATAATAATAATAATAATAACAACAATAACACAGTTTGCAATAGCAGCACAGGAAGAGAAAAAGAGATGATATGAAGAAAGTCCTATGTTGTCTCTTTTCAAAAACCTGTTTTTGTCCATGTTTTGCAGAAGTGTGAAGCAGGATGATGATGATGAAGATGATGATGATGATGATGTTGTGTCCCTGTGTCTGGAAAATAAAGCAGGATAGACACCGAACTGTGATTTCTCTTAAGGAGCCTGATGTTCTTCATGTTTTTAGAATTATTTCAGACATTACGATGCTGAATTGTGTCTTTAATTGGCTGCAGCACGGGTAAAGAGCCAAAGACAAATTCCTACCTCAGTTAGTCTTAATGTTGCCTTCACATCCTCCAATTATTCAGCGTTATTTCACTCCATATTCTGTGTAATATACTGTGATGTCTTTATAATATCTCAGCTTAAACTATTAAGGGTTTGTAAGACACTTTTAATGTGTATTCATTTCCTCAGATGTTAATGATTTCTATTGTACAGTGAGGGTGGTAACATTTTCAGGACCCCTCACATGGTCCCGCAGCGGATCAATAGTGATGACACGTCTGTAATCTGATAAGTTTCTGTGGCAATGTGGCTAAGTTCAGCTTTGTTTGTTTTACACACAACACGTCGGCCTGTTCCCTCCTCCTTCTAAAAAAGTCGCTTCTGGTAAAGTTGTTTCTCACCCCGTTAAAAATGAGCAGAGATTTCTGTGGAAAAGCCTTCACGGGCTACAGAAAATGATTGTCTACAAAGAAAAATCCCCCAAAACATCCGATTCCACGAAAGCTGTGAGTCATGGAGGAAACAGAAGAGACCCACAAATAGGTCAACCAGGGGTCAAGAGTTCACGAGTATTACTAACTGGAGTGTTTGATCATGATGATGATGATGATTAAAGTAAGAGATTACTCTGCTGTTAAAAGACGTTCTAAATGTTTTTAAAGATGGTATTTTCACATTTATCCCTCAGTATGTTGGAGTAACTCTCACCCAGAAAAACTAATTATTATCATGTATTATCAGAAAACAAAACAGCACCTCATACAGCCAATCATTCAATATTTATAAACACTCGTTCATTCACTCACATTCTTTGGATTTGAGTCATTAAAATAAGTAAAGTATGTCTGATTTAGTTTGACTTTTTAATCTGCTGATGGTTATATCTCAGCACAAGCAGACACTGCCACCTAGTGACCGACTGAAAAACTGTCGCAAAACATTTCAAAACAAGAGCTTCATTATTCCAATCAAAGACAGAAAAGGGAAACTAGATCAAATCAAGTTTTTAATAACTTGAATGCAGATGAAGAAGAAGTCTGAATGATGCAACTTCAGAAAAACACAATCCCAGTTTGAGACATTCTGGGAAGGTTTGGTAAAAGTATTAGAACATGTGCTCGCTGACACTGATGCTATTTTGTAGACTTCTTTTTCACTTCTGTGTATTTTAGATGTATTGCAGAAAAGTTTCTAGTGCACATCCAATCAATCACAAACTTCAGTGAAGCACTTGTTGAAACAGTTTACAGGTTATAACGATGCATTAAAAAAAAACACTTTTTCATTCTGCTGCAGCTAACGTTGAAAACATGTTTGGACTTCAACACAGACTTCAGCTCCGTCCTGTCCGTCTTTCAAGGCAACACGTGTGACCACCGTCCCTGATTCTCCGTCAACATACCGTCTGTCAATCACAGATCTACGGCATTGAACATTTAATATCAAGTCCAAAGTCGATCATTTAGGACTGAGGATCATTTACTGTATTACTAAATGATCAGTAGAAGTTCATCATCAGTTGTTCATGGCCTCCGTGGACATCACAGGTTACTCCTCCATTTGATGTTCTCTGCAGGTTCATTCACTGAGGGAGAGAAAGTTTGTGTTATTTCTTATTCTGGCTTATTCTTATTCTTATTCTGAGTTCAGTCTGTGACTGCAAATTCTAGTTTTAGATTTAGTTTAAAAGTAGTGCTGTCAGTATTAACTATTATTTTGTCCCTTCAGGCTCTCCGTAGATAGTGGTCCTCAGTGTCTCCCTGTAGTCTCAGTGATGTAAAAGAAGAACACTGCTGCATCTTTGAATGTCTCATTTCACTTTAACAAACTCTCAGACAGCTCAGCTGACGAGTCCAAAGTAATATCCACCTTATGACATCACACATTGACCTTATGACATCACACATTGACCTTTGTTACCGTTCCTTTCAGCTGTTTGACCTCAGTTTGTGATCCCTAACCACTTCCTGTTTCTGTGCTTAACTTCATGTCCTAACGTTCACTCTACCAAAGGGGAACTTACTGTATTTCAAAATAAAAGCAGGGTTGAATTCAAACGGCAAGTAAAGTGCTCTCAATTTAGGAAAGTACTAAAATTCAAAATAAAAGCCTAACAATTTTTATTTTGAAATGTGGAAACATGGAATTTTAAACATTATTATTATTTTAAACATATTAGATAGGACAGATTAAGAGAGACAGGAAATATTGAGAGGAGGGAGTGGGGATGTAAAATTCAAAATAAAAGCCTCACAATAAAAAAAAAATTCAGGTGCGAAATAATGACATTTCAAACAAGAAAATAAAAATGTGATTAATCACAATAAACTAAAAAAAAAGGCAATAAATCATAATTAAACATCCTAATCTTTTGACAGCCCTACTGAAAAGTCGGGAGAAATGTCATATTCTGTAAAACTGAACCGTCAAGGACTTTCATTTTAACGCTGACCTACCCAAGCTGATCTTGCCTTCCTTCTCCAGTTTCTTTAAGTGATGAACCAGGTTCACATTGGCTGCAGGGTGCAGGTTCACAGGAGTGTCCTGGGGGAGAAAGAAGGGTCAGTAGTGTTGTTGTTGTTGTTTTAAATGACCAAAATTTGAGTCTGACCAACCCTGACTCTACAAACAGGTCACTGCACATTTTAAAGTCCCTTGTAATTACTTCACTTATTTAGAGTATTTCCTATATTTACATGTATCTCTGTGTGAACAAGTTTATCTTATTTCTACTTCTTGGTTTAGTTTGAGGAGTTCTTGGTCTTGACCTTATAAACGATCTTGACGAGCTCCATCGAGGAGAACGGCTTTCCTGCTCCGTCCTGAATGGCTGCCAGGATCTGCTGCTCTCTCTGGTCCCGATGGCTGATGTAGTATCTGATCTTAGAGCCCGCATCCTGAACCACGGGGCCATGACCTGCACGAGAGTTGTTGTTAAAATATATGAACAGTTGCACAGTGAAATGTTTGACTGGTTCATGGAGGTCAAACCTGTGACCCTCTGTGTGTATTCTTGCCCTTCATCTTAGAAAAGGAAGTCACTTCACTGATTGATTATAACTGAAATCTGAGGGACTTGCTGTGAAATATGGCGACTGCAAAGGTTTTTTTTTTTAAAAACAATATTAAGCCATAACATTCAAATCCTCCAGGGGGCATCATCCACCTTTCAGACTCACCGGGATAGATGAGGTCAGCCTGAGAGTCCAGCAGGATCTTTAAAGACTTCATGTAGTCGTAGAGGTCCTCGAACACGGCCGTGCCTTCCCCCAGGATGCAGTCCCCTGAGAAGAGCGCCTGCTCCTCCTCCAGCAGCAAGGCCATGTGGTCGTCAGTGTGACCCGGGGTGAACAGCACTCTGGGAAAAAAAAAAGAAGAATTGACTTTGGCAACCTCATCCTCTAGATCAGGGTAATATGTCAACCACATGAACTCTCCCCCAGAACCAGGGATCTTTTCAGGAACTATGTTCATTTCCACCGCTGGAATAATTGAATCCCTAGAATAACAAGATCCTGGACCTTTGGTTGAAAAGGGGTCACATGTTTAAGTTCCCTGTAGATCTAGTGAAAGTCCCGGCAGTATATATTTCTAGATTATCATAAAGAGAACTCACTTTAGCGTGGCCCCCTCGGTCTGGACAACATCTCCGTCCTTGAGGTAAGTAAAGCTTTTGTTTCCGGCACTCTCGCTGACTCTGATTGAGCGAGGCAGTTTGCTGACGCGGACATCAGAACCTGCAGGAGGGAGGATAGAGAGAAACTTCGCCACCAAACAACAGCTATCAAGCGTCCTCTTTTTGTTACAACTACAGCTGCAGACCTGCACGGCAAACTGTCGACACTTTGAGTTGAGAACTGACCGCCAGCAACGTCCCTGCAGACGTCCTCCACTCCGCCCGTGTGGTCATGATGCCAGTGTGTGACGACGATCTCCTGGATGCTGGCGTTGAACTGCTTCAGCGCCTGTTTCAGGTTGCTGATGTATTCAGGGACTGCAGGTTCTCCCGTGTCTATGAGCACTCTCCTAGAAAATCAGATCAAACAACATATGCATGTGACAGGGCTGCACGATAAAATGAATCCCCACTCAGTGTGTGCACATTTCACAGGGACACGATGCAAACACAAGTACTGCAGAAACATAAAGAATTATTACATCTTATTGAGTTACACCAGTGTCTTGGTGTTGAATTGTTAACGTTACCTATCTTCTCCTCATTACATATCTTTTCAACAAGTGTCTGATCTGCATTTGAGGGACCATAAATGGATGTCTATCTCCAAAGATCGAAGACAGATAAGAAAATATTATATATATTTTCATATTTTTTGCAACTAATATATATGCCGAAATAACAATAGAATCAGTATTATTCGGTTTGCTTTATCACTTTTGGTCTACATATAATGTGCTTTCACTCACAAGCAAAGAAACACTAAATTAAGTATTTTTCTAATGGAGTTTGGCGTGACGTCATTTTCAATATGTTAGCATGGGGCTTATTAAGAGTGTTCACGGACACAAAACCTCAGAGGCGAGTTTAAAACAAATAACCAGTACTAAATAAATATATTCACAAGAAGATATTACGTTTATAATGTTCACACACACTCACCTTTCCCCGGTGCCGACCAGGTACGTGTTGGTTCCCTGCAGGGTCATCGGTCCCGGGTTGCAGCCCAGAACCCGGACCACTCTGGCGGACAGCTGCTCTATCCGCGGAAGAATCGCACTCATACTTGAATCCGAACCGGAATCTGCAAATAACAAAACATACACGGAGGTTAAAGTCCAAAGAATCAAACCTCTTCTTGTGACAGGCAGGATATGTGGAGCGGAATCTTCATGTTATGATTGTTTACTTCCGGTATGTCCCAATTCAGCCTTCAAAGTAAAAGCCTCGTTTGTATTTATTATTTATTGTATTTTATTTTAACTGTATTTTACCAGGGAAATATTCTCGTTGAGATACAAGATCTGTTTTTTAAGGTCAGAAGTCAGAAGGTTTTTTACCCTGCAGGGGGGGATTTGTTGTCACAGTCTTACACAGTTGGTACAAAGGTCTACACCAGGGGTGTCCAAAGTGCGGCCCGAGGGCCATTTGCGGCCCTTGAGGGGATTTTTTTGCGGCCCGTGACTTCAAATGAAGAATCAGAAGATTTTGAGGCCTCGATTAAGATCGGCACATTATCTTATTTTTCTTTTTCATGTTAACAAGGGCTGAACAATATTCCTAAAATAGAAAATGTTCAGTAACATGTATGTTGTTGTTGTTGTTTTTAAATCTACAGCTTTTACTATTTTCCACATTTTTTTGTAAACTATGAACAAAAAACATATACAAAGTTTTTGCAAACAAGCGGACTGTTGTTTAACCATTTAATGACCTGAGCTAAATGAAGAAAGCTTTTCCAAAAACATGAACCACGTTACAGACTGGATTCTGAGAAAAAAACAAATAAAGTAGAACGAAGAAATCTAAATATTTGATTTCCTTTTATTAAAGGGTTTCTTTAGCGAGCCTTTTGATTCTGATCTACAAAGCCTTACTATTTTGTCATCTATATTTTAAAAAACAAAACCTGCGGCCCGCGAGCGATTCTAACATGACAATTTTGGCCCGCAAGAAAAAAAGTTTGGACACCACTGCTCTACACTTATGAACACGTAACACAGGAAGAAACACACCAACAGAGGAGGCTTGTTTCTAAGAGCTCCAGTAGCCTTTTGTAGACAGACGAGGGACACATTGGTGTTCGGTTAAAAACATGGTAAAGTGTGTTTATGTGCATCATATGGGACCTAAAGGTTACTCAGACTAAGATGATGGAGCGAGCTCACTAAAAGCACTTTCATCAAAGACCAAGAGCGAGGCCAAACACACAAGATGAGTCCTTGAGATCGAAAGCTGCTGCTGCTGAGAGCTTAAATAAGAAGACATGGGTTCAGGTACTATGGGCCTTATGAAGAAAAATGTACCAATGCTCCATCCTTCGCTTGGACAAGGAGGACAAACCTACTCTCTTCTACAAGACAAAGAGACAAACTGTCATGCAGAGTGGTACTCTAAGTCCAACATTCAGTGAGCATGAGGAAGCATAAAGAAGATCACTGAGAGGAATTTAGGTTGGATGAGTTCCTTCCCAGCGATAAGAGAAAACTTTTCTTTCTGTCGAAGAAATTTCACCCTCAGTTCTTTTTAAGGTGGTGCTAATAGTCAATACCAATAATAATATATAAATAGTCAATAACAGTGATTTTAATCAAGTAATAAACACAGGTATTAATATGTTGGAACACGTTCAATCACCTCATGGTTCAAGGTAAAAATCGTTTTCTTGGGACCTCAAGAAGCACGTTGTTTTTGTCTCCTTCATATTAGTAGTGATATTATTCGCCTGTGTTTTTAGTCATTTCAGTCCAATGACCTTAAAGCTGCTTCCATAGGATACTTGTATGCTTGGTAGTTAATTCTTATGTTACCCATTATTACATTTACACACAGCACTTAAGATTCAAATGTGTAAACATAAAAGTGAGTATGTTAAAGCTCCTGCAGTGTGACATTTTTGGCAGCCGATGTAACAGCCTATAAATAATAATGATGCCTCTTAGGGATGTAAAGATTAATCATGTCAGAGTGGGGCTGCTACACAGGGAGCGCGCCCGAGCTGTTAGGGCTTAAGTGACCTGACACCTCTTCTCCAGCGACCAGCCCAACTTCAATGCTTTGGGCCACAGCGGGACTTGAACCAGCGACAGCCTGAGCTTTACTGCCGACTCTTTGGTTTTGTTTAAACAATGGATGCATTGTGAGTAACATGCTGGACATTTAAAATAAGAGTAGGATGAACTTTTGTTAGTAAAAGAAAAATCACCTTCACATGTACAGGACAAGATAAGAGGTGAAATATGTGTCCCTGTTCGTCTGCGGGAGACCCCAAAATGAATCAAAACCTGACAGATCCTCACAGGAGCTTCAAATCTGGATTGCACAATGCTTTGTTTTTCATACAGCTTCCTGAATGTTTTTTATGATTTGTATTTATTGTCAGTTGTGATAGAATAGAATAGAATTACTTTATTGATCCCAAACCGGGAAATTGTGGCGTTACAGCAGCAGGTTGTCCAAACACACAATATGAGCAAAAAATACAAAGTAAATAAGCAAAATATAAAAACTAAGAATGAGAATATATACATCCTGGATTTATCTTAGCATTACTTCTAGTCTTAAATATGAAAGATTAAATACAACAGAATGTGATGTTTTATTGCTCTGTTGACTTTGAATGTTGTTTATATTGTGTTTATTTCTTTCCTTTTTTTAGCATCAAGTTATGACATATGGAGACTTTTTTCATATTTAAATGTGGACAGGTTTCTGTTGTTTCTGAGTTTTCCCCTGTTCCACTAAAAAAAAAACCCTAATGAATAGGTTGAATATCATTATTATAAATCCATCCATTATTAGTTTCTATACAACCAAGGTATATTCATGTGCACTCATTAACACATAATTACAGCCACGTTCCCCTGCATAAATTACATTCACATAAGTGCCACACTAATCTTCAGAACACATGCCGCCTCACAATTAAATAAATAAACACATTCAGTTCATGCTCCTTCACAGGCAAAAGGATCTCCAGCCAAGCCGGGGACAAATGAGAACGACCATTACTGGATGTTAAGGCTGTGTGTCACAATAAATGTCATATGACATCATAAATCCACTGTGGCTCCGATGAACACTAGGTGGGGCCGTTGTCCAGTGTCATCATGGCTCCTCTGAGACCCCGAGTAAAAAAAAGAAAAAGAAATAAATAAAGACCCAGGACTATCAGCATTTCACTGCATGAACCTTTTATTACTCAATGATGATAACGGTGCTTACAAACTCAAATATCAACGTAATGTGCTGCAGTGAGTGTTGTTATTGCCCGCTTTATGTTAGGAACTGTTTGTTCAGGTGTTTTATTACACACCTCAGACGGGTGAGATCTGAATCATTTACTGCTGTTTAAACACATGAAGTGACCATCTGAGCAGCTGGTGTTCTTTAATGTGATCATAACCTGAGATCTTTTCATAGGAAGGTAAATGAAATGTCATAAAGGGAAAATCCTTTTAAACTCATTTTTAAAGGATGCCTTCTAAGAGTTTTCCCACTACATACTGATTAACTGAAAATGCTATAAAATACAGAAAATACTCCAATATTTATGTTATGTGTCGTTAAGAGAAGTCCTGGGGTTGCTATTTACGCAGATTTAAGGATGTGTGGTCCAACATTAAGTTTATTGGAAAGTATCTGTCAGGCGTCATTGTTATAGACTGAACGATAAGGGGTCATATGGGGATCACCACATGGGAAAAGGGGGCAAATTCCCAGGGCCACAGCGAGAGGGAGTCTTTGCCTTGCCCTGTAAATATTAAAGAGGACATATTATCCCCTTCTCCACCTTTTCAGACAGTCCCCCTGTGGTCTAAATGAAACATCTGTGCTGTGCTTTGGTCAAAATATAACATGAATCAAGCACCAGAGGAGGTTTGTGACCCTGTATAAACCAGCTCTCTCAGAACGCTCCGTTTTGGTGTGTGTGTCTCTTTAAATGAAATGACACCCCCTGAGTTTTCCCCGTAGACATCACTCCTCTGTAGAGAGAATAAAAATGGCGGACCTGCGCAAAAGTTTTGTTCTAGTCTGGGGGTGGAGTCCATGGGCGGAGATACCAGGGGAGAGGAGGGGATTTTTTTTATACCAGAATCCCACTGTGACATCACAAGGAGAGCACATTTGAAACAAAGCATTTTTCTCTGTGTTGTAAGACTTGTGCAGACCACAAACAAAGGACTGAATGGGTTTATTTCACATTTTGTGGGTCAGTAGACACTCAGGTTACCCAAATAAATGTTCAAACACAGTGAAGTACTGGATTTTTCATAATATGTCCCCTTTAAGTGACGGAGCCTGAGTGATGTCACACATCTGGTACTGCAGGGGGCTTTGCATGCCCATCAAGGGCGGTCTTTAGAGTCAAAAAAGTATGAGATAAATCCTGATAAAAAAATGAACGCATTAATTTCACACCTTAATTACTGGTGATTAATTAGCCAATGCTGACTGCTTTAATATAAAGCGATCATTTGATTTGATTTGTTTTCTCTGTAATGTATTTTTAATTCACCCCATAGAACCGTGACCACAGCCACTCCTATACCACCTGAGAGTCGTTCCTCTATTGTACTTAATACGGTGAAACACAGAGGATGATCTTTTCGAACAGGCTCTACATTATGCTGAACCCATTAGTTCTTTCCTGAGTACATGGCCGGTAATCCTACAAGCATTACAACACCAGATCGATGGCAGTCAAATGAAGCCATAAAGCGGACCGAGACGCAGCGGTAAATTGCCTCTTGGGGACCCACACATCCTCCTTAACGCCTTGTTTGATATTTGCCCCCAATAAATTGTGACCCATAAAAAGCGGGTGTAAAAGAGGCGAGAACTGGGGGGCTCTCTATAATATAATATTTACAGGTAGAATAGGTGGAGGGGAAAAAGCAGAGAGACATTATTTCCACCTAAAAGAAATAGATCCTGACATGTGGGCGTCCAAGGGCCCCATCCTCCTCTCTCTCACTCTCTCTCTTTGTAATTACACGACATAATGGTGGTGCAGTCGGTCCGTAATCTCCCATTATAATCAGTCTCGGCTGCCTCCACTCGCTCTCCACCACGGCTTCTAATTCAATATAAATGTAAATGACTAGGGGGGAGATAGAGGGGGAGGGAGGGGAGGTCAGGAATAGTATGGTGTGTAAATGTGGAGTCTGATCTGCGCAGAAATCCGTA